AGGCTGAGAGGGGATCTCGTGGCCACCTACAAACAGGCCACGGAGGACCAGCAGGCAATGGTCCCTGTTCCCCCAAGCACTACTGGGAGTTACAAGGAATAACTGCCATAAGCTGACTGAGAGTAGGTTCAAGCTAGACATCAGGAGGCACTACTTCAGAGTCAGGGCAGCTAGGACCGGGAACCAACTTCCTAGGGAAGTGGTGCTCGCCCTTACCTTGGGGGTCTTCAAAAGGAGGCTAGACAATCACCTAGCCAGGGTCATTTGACCCCAGCATTCTTTCCTGACCATGGCAGGGGGGTTGGACTTGATGACCTGCTTAGGTCCCTTCTGACCCTACCAACTATGAAACCTATTGGAAGAGGAGTATGTAATGCAGCTTGGAAGGGTTACACGTGTAACAGGCTGTACCACTTATTTTGTCCCAAGGTTTTGATTCATACCCCAACAGCCTCAGAATGTCTAGTTACAGGGACAATGCCCATCTTTTAAAAGGGAAGGAGGGGTGGAAGGAGAAGTAATAAAGGGACACAAGGAATTGTAGACAGGTCAGCTGTATTTCAATATCTAAAATGTTGTTAAAATAAATTAGAAAATATGCAGTTTGTAATCATCTGCAGATCAGGGGATGATAGATAGCAGCCAACCAATTTAAGAGCAAAACTTGCCAAGACACCTTGATTACTTCCTTTAAAAGAATAATCAATTGGTAGATAAGGAGAATTTGGTGGATATAATATACCTGGACTTTAGTGAGGTTTTTGGCCCAAGGACTACCATTCTCTAAGTAACCTAGATAAATGTAGGTTATATTAAATGATCATTGGGTCTGCACAGAACTGGCTGAATATCTGCCAGCAGAGAGAGTTTGTTAATGGATAAATGTCAGGCTGGCATGTTTCAAGTGGGGTTCCACAGGAGTCTATTCTGCTTATTTTTATTAATGATATGGAAAGAATGAGCAAGGGCAAGTGAAAGCACGCAAGTGAACGCATGCATGCTGATCAAATTTCCACGTACCACAAAAGGGATCTGGATAAACTGGAGAACTGGGCTATAGACCATAAAATGACAACTCATAGGGAAGAAAAATTAAATGCTCACACGTAGAATATAGGATAAACTGGCTTAGCATTACTGAGGATCTGGGGGTTAAGACCACAGACTCAAAGAGAGTTACTAATGTGATGCTTTCAGAAGAAAAAAGTGAATGTAGTTTTGGCTGCATTCCAAGAAACCCTGCATGAGGTACTATGGGAACACTCATTCTTGCAAGGGGTGGGGGAAGAGAGAGAGAGAGAGAGAGAGATCTTCCAGGTTAAAAGCTAGAAGACCTTTCTCCTAGAGGGGGTGTTTTGCCCAGGAGATACTGAATGAAAACCAGCATAATCATAGGACACTTTTACACGTGCTCCAAAGCATTCCGATTAGAACACGTCAGAGCAGACTGCTGATTCTAATCAGAATGCTCCAGCATCTCATGTAGTCAGTGTCCCTACATTTCAAACTAGTGGCACAGGTGCTTTAACAAAAGCTCATCAAACGAACTTTAAAGTGCCCCTGCCACCATTTCAAAATGTGGGGCACTGAATACACAAGACTCTACAGGTGTATAAATTAGAAAAGCTCCTGAGTGCCACTCATATAAAACTGCCCACCCCAGAGCACATGTATAGGTGCCCATAATCTCCAGGTAGACACAAACTTCTGTATCTAGCCTCTATTTCTCAAATCAGTAGGCTTCAGCTGGAGTTGTGTCCAGTTTTTGGTATCACATTATGAGAAGGAAATGGAAACAATGAACAGAATTTAAAGCAAGCAATGAAAATGAAAGAACAGGTTGAAGGACTCAAGTAAGTTTAGTTCAGAAAAGAGAAGATTAAAGACAAGCCTTGGTAGTACTTATCAAGTATTTGAAAGCCAGACATAAAGATGTTGAAACACTGTTTTCCACTGCCAGAGAGAGCAGGGCACACACCAATGAATTCAAACTGCAACAAAGCATCTTTAGATCGAACTGCAGAAAAAAACCTCCTTAATTGTAACAGTAAGAAAATGGAACAAGCTACACGGAAATCTATGGATCTCCTTAACTGGAATTTTTCCAAGAAGCGTCTGACTGGGATGGTTTAGGAATAATACATCCAGCATGTATGTAAGCAACTGTACTAGACTACCCTAGAAAACCCATTCAACTCTAAAGGTCTATAGCTTTTAGTATTAAAAAGCTTTACATTTTTTCAGAAGGTTCTAATACAAAATCGGTTTCTCCCATTCACCACTCTGGATTTAAAACCTTCATCAAGTCCCACTGTTTCATTTACTCTGTCATCTGTATTATACCCATTTCAATTTCCATTAGGAGATAGTTATACAAGCAGAAAAAACCCAGCTTTCATGCCACACCAGAGTCAACTTCAACATTTATTAAATCAGTTGGGCAGAGCAAGGTCAGATGCTCTTCTCTATTTGTTCTAAATAAAGAAATCATTCAAACCACAGGTTGAAAACTACTGATTTAGAAACTGAATCTTGCATTTGTAACCCTTGAGGTCCCTACCAGTGGGACCTATGATTTTATATTCTTCACTGAAAGGCCTGACATCCCAGTTTTTTTATTCTGTTGGCAGCAGTGCCCAACTGAAATTTAATATGCTTATTATATATTACCATTTGTATCAAAGGTTAAAAACAAAGAAAACACAAACTAACTTTATTTTAAGGGTGCCAGCATCCCAGAGCCAAAAACATATTGTTCCATCTGCCCCGGTTGAGGACAGATACCTCTTTGAACCACTGCACAACGGAGAAAACTGGAAAGAAAAAGAATCCACAGTTTAAAAATATTCTTTGCTAGACTACTATCATATTTAGCAAGCAGCATGAAGTGAGTGACCCAAATTATTCAGTCTTTTCTGACCACACCAGTTCCAGTAAGTGCTAGTAAAAGGAAATGTTAATCACAGAAACACCAAACAGCAAAACAGTGCGATGATGGTTTTCAGATGCATTCTTTTCCCCACACAAATAGAAACTTGATCAGACGGAGTTAGGGGATTACTTTACTTCCCTACAAAGTCTGTGGTCAGACCAAGCAATTGCAGTGCTTTCAGGTGAGGAATAGGAGGGTGGCAAGGACTCTCGTCTCTTATAAGAACGTACATCAGCTGATCCATGGAATCCATTTTTCATCTGTCCAGTCCTATTTGTCAGTAAGCAAAGCTAAACCACAATAATTTTACCCCTGAAGGAAACAGGTGATGGATTATTGCAATTTAACTTCAAATTTACCATATGATAAAGCAAAGACAAAAAACCCAGAAACAAACGGAACAGATTCAACTGAACCAGTAAGACTCCCTCCCATCCCCTTTCAAGGAAGCTGGCAGCATAATCATCTGTCCACATCAAGTCCTACAGTCAACAAAACCTCAAAAAAATGTTCTTACAATAATCTGAAGCTTTCTTATATACTATAATATGTCAGTGTTACTAAATAAAATAATGAAATAATCTTGTTCTTTTAATTCCCAATGTTCTCTTTTTTTTTTTTTTTTTTTTAAGTTAACCCAGTGTTTATCATAGCTTGTAAGGTAACTTAGGCCTAGGTCCTGCAAAAGCTTACACATTTAACTTTACACAGTTATTTGTACTGATTTTAACAGAAATATGCATAGGTATAAATTTAAACTCATGTAGGCTAAGGACAGATGTTGCATATAAACTGGTATGTGATCAGAAACCAGTTCAAATAGGTAACACAACAGAAATTCAGTGCAGATAAACTGCTTTCAAAATGGCCAAAACCAATTGAAGATAAACCTGAATGGATGTAGTATCAGATTTAACTGTTTTAGGTTAAATTGGTTCACTGAACTTCTGTCTCAGATCCCCTCCAGGTTCAAGTTAATTCTCAGTCCCCCAGCATCCCAGAATGTTTTGTATCCTCCCCTTCACAGGGTGGGCAGGCTAGTCTTGGCCCAGGCTGTCTGCCCCAGAGAAGCAGGGAGGCATGCTCTAGCACCTGCTGGCATGTGGCCTGGGCTGCTGTAGGCATGTCGCTGTATTTCCAGAATAAAAGAGAGTTCACTTGCTAATTGATTCAATCTACACAGCTTAGACTAACTTGTGAAGACTGAATCAATCCAGCCTCAGGATTGTTGACTGTCTGTACTTAGCTGTAATGTTTTTGAAACAGGGTGTTTCTAAACTCTTCAGGATAGAAACCCGAGTCTGCATTTGTCAAGCGAAAGACATTTGACACTGCAAATAAACACTGTCACACTACTTATATTAAAAGCTTCTTTTCCACTCCAAATTTTGTTATTACTTATTCCATATATTAAAAAGAAAAAACTCAAAAGAAAAAAAATTACTGCTGCAATCCATTCTTGCTTACATGTTTTTTGCAAAAAAAGTGACCGTTACCTGCAGTGATGTTATGGATGCACTGTGGCCCTGCAAAACTGCTAGGGGTGCACATGTTCGAAGACACCAAACTCGGATCATTTTATCACAGCTCCCTGCAGCAATCATGGTGTTCTCATAGTTCACAGCCATGTCAGATATTTCAGCTGCATGTCCTCTTAGAGTAGCCAACAACCTTCCATCATCTGTTGCCCATATTTTTACAAGGCAATCATCTGACCCCTAAAAATAAGGAAGATATCACTATAACCATGCAAAATAGTTATTTTAATGTTCTATACCCATGTTACTTACCTGAAACAACAAAATTAGTTGCATTGATTGTAAACAATTTCTTTCTATAGTTTGAGTGCACTGTGGAAAGCTTTGGCATTCTGTATGCAAGAAGAAACTGAGGTATGCCAAGTGCCAACTGTATGCACAAATTATGCATCTTAACATATACACAAACCCTACAATAAGTCCAATTTAAAAATTCTTCAGCAAGGTAGTCTATTTTCTGTTAAAATGGAGTTTTGCAAGTTAAGATATAGCAACAGCCTAATTTACATTTTAAAGTGGAGACGTGCAACTAATGTGGAAGTGGAACACTAATGGTTATTCATTTAATTTTTATTAACTTCGAAAGTTTACATTATGTGTCTAGTCTCTCCTAACCAGCTCATTCTTCATGTCCCACAATGTAAAAAGTTAATACAGAACTTTTTCTTTCCTCACTTTTCCTGTATGGATTTCATGAACAATAAATAGAGCTACCATTTAAAACATTGCTAATATCCATATTAATATGGACTGAAATGAAAGCAACAATTCAGAGCTCTGAGTTTCCATTTCAGTTCTTTACAAACTGCAGATGACATTTCTGGTTTGGTTAAACTCAATTTCACAATCTGGAAAAAGTGTGGGGGGGTTCTGTTCTAAGTAATGCAATCACTGGGAAATAAGCGAAAGGTCAGCTCATTCCTTTCCGGTTTTTTTTTCCTTTGCATTCCCTGAAAGGAGGATATGCCACACTTTGAAAAACACTGCACTAAGAGAACTACAAACTTACACTTCAGAGCTATTATTGCAGGTTATCTGCAGGCTCAAAACATCTATAACGCTGCATACCTTTGAGCATTTCATTCACATTTTACGGTCTTCTTTGCAACAAGGTGAAACAGGAAAAAAAATTAAAATGCCAGTTCAGAGCATTTTTGGAGCACAAATCCACTACAGTCTCTGGATTCTTCTATGCCATTAATATAAAGGTTTTTTCCTAGGTTTTTTCTGTCTAAATACACATATAGTGTTTAAGCATCCCAATTTAATGCATTTATCCTTATAAAAGCTATTTGAGGAAAGAAATATTATTCCCTGGAGGAACCTGAAGCAAAAGGAGACCAACAGTCACCATTTCAAAGGTATGTAGGTTACTTCAAACATATTCTATTTGAACCCCTATCTCAACTGAGCCAAAATAGTGCACACCAGGCAACGGTGAGTGAATTTTCAGTAAAACAAATAAATAAAAGTTTGGTAATTTCCCAAAACAAAACAGAAAGGAGCACAGGAGTGTTGCTTAACACGTTCAAAATTACTGCAAACATTTCACTAACATGCTCTAGCAACTTGTAACTAGCGTGGCTTGTCTGCCAAATATTTGAGATCTGCTTTTTGCCATCCCTAGAAAAATCAGCCCAAATTTGATCACAGTTATTATACTGTAGAATAAACACTGTAGTTTTCACAAACTCAATAAATGCTTGTTGGAGCTGGGCAGCAAAAATGCATCAAAGATTTTTTCTACGCTGAGCAGTTAGCGTGAGGATTTCAACTAGACTGTGCCTGCAGCAACCCTATCATGACTGAATACACCATCAAAAACTTTCACAGCAAAATAAAACTGTCCCTACTGCTACTCCCAGCTCATAGGGCCGCTGTGTACAAGACATCATAACAGAGAGCAGGGAGACTATCCACCACTCTTAATGGCCATAGACAGGCATTACATTTGTGCTAAGAAATATGCGACTGCATAGCTCTCCAGCCACTGAACAGGAATGCTTGTACAGCTAGCTCCCTTCTCATATTTTTGTGGCACTGGAAATTTTTTGGCACTCAAACTGCAGGCCTGTCCATATTCAATGTCTCCCTGTTGGCACATCGGCAACTCAGAAGAGAAGGTAGCCCATACTAAATACTGGGGTGGAGGGGAAAAGGTAATTGAGAAACAGGACTGAAAGTGAGGAAGGGACAAAAACAGAAGTGGGCAAATTTAGGTGGGAGGCAGCAAAGGCAGATACATAATCACTAAAGCATGTACCCTTCTAGAACCTGGAACTAAACCCAGAATTCCAAAACCTTAAAATCCTTCTGCTGTCTACAAATAAACCAAGAAAGCCATTACCAAAGTATGTGTCTTATCTTTTCTAAAAGGTGCTAATGAACATGATATGATTACATGAATACATAAAGGATGACAACCTAAAGATGGTTATCAATTACTGTTCATTCAAGTCACAAGTTTGTCTATAAATTAACATGGTTCTGATTCTGTCAATGACCAATACAGAGTAAATCTAGTTCCATATGAAGGAAACCAGTGTTTTTTAATTTTGCTTTTATCAACAAAACAAAACCCACTAAGCTTGCTTGTGGGTTTTGTAAGTCATTTCCCATTAAGAGTCAAGCATTCAGGTCTAGGAAAAACCTTCAGTAAAGCTTTAATTGCTATAACTGTAGCTATACATCATGGTACAGTCTACTCAAGTATTATTTTTCATGCAATGTATAGGCTGTTGCCTATTGAAGTGAGGCTGCTGGGAGGAAAGGGATATCAACATCCCAGTCTTAAGAAGATGCCTCTTTCTAAGCCACATCATGAAGCCAAGCGTTAAAATGTTGTATTTAATAAGGATGTTGCACCTCCCCACTAGTGTGCACCTCTGAAAAGCCAGATTAAGTTTTATACAGATAACCTTTCCATAGCGTTTCATGAATTGGGCTAATATGGGAGTTCCTTCTTTAGTGAGGTTAATGACTTTAAACCACTTCTGTTTGATATCTGGCCAAATACCAGTCCTCAGATTATTTAAAAAAACCCAAAAAACAAAACAAACTTGAACAGTAGCAATAAATAAATAACCAACCTGTTATTATATTGAAAGAGGTGCTGCTAAATTCAGAAGAGATACAGAGGAATGCTTGGAGTCTAAAAAGGTTAAGAACTGCTTCTATCCGCAAATACATAAAGTTAAGATGCGCCAGATATATGCAAACACAAAAAGAGTAGTCTGTTTGCAAGGAGAATAAAAACAAAAGGGAGGATGGACAACAGCCATTAAGCAGCAGAATGAAAGTGACAACACAGTTGCAGAAGTGTCATGTAGGAGATAGTAAGCCAGTCTGTAATTAATTTATTCCATTAAATGAAAAGTTAATTGAGTCATTAACCTATTAAAACTCACTCCAAATCATTTAAAAGAGGATTAAATCTCACAATTTATAGAAACATTTGAACAAATCATCAAGAAAAAAAAGTTATGCTACATTACCATTTTTAAAAACAGAATTTCAAAATATTTAGTAGAGGTGCACCGATACATCTGTCCATATTGTATAGGCACTCATAGAAGGAAAAATTGACATTATCAGCAATCAGCTTTTTTTTGGCTGACATGGCCGATAATGATGCCGATAAATGCTGTGTGCATGAGCACAGCTGCAGCATGCACACGACCAGGAGTACAGCCCAGAAGCTTGAAGAGCAGCATCTGACTGGTAA